CCTCTGCCAGGTGGCCCTTCCCCTCTCCTGGTCCTAAACGAGGCCTTCACATCTCCACTGCCCTGTCTTCTGCCCCCCCCCACCATGTGATGTCTCCACACATTAAAATGGAAAATCCTCAAGGTCAAGGCCTGTCTTTGCTCCCCTATGGTATTCCCAAGCTTAGTGCAGGGCCAATGTGCTATCCTGCCCTCAGCGAGCTCCCAGTCTAAACTACCAGCAGGGAGCTGCAATACGGAACAGAACCTGAAAGGGCGGGTTCCGCCTAACCTGGTGCCCCACAACTGCTCACTTGAATGGAGCTGAAGCCGAGGTTGATTAGAGTCACCGAACAGAGGGACACAGGGGCCTGGAAGGATGAAGCTCAGGTTTGGGGCTCTGAGAAGACAGCCAAGGCTGCAGTGGGACAAGGAGGGCATCACAGGAGCAGGGGACAGTATGCAAAGGTCTGGAGGCGTAAGAGCATAGGGCAGGTGAAGGGGACAGCCAGTCACGTGTTCAGGAGGCACGTTGAGTTCCCAGAGTCCACTAGGACCAGGTAAGGGCTCTTTCAGAGGCTGAAATTCTGCAATTCCACGAAGGCTTGAAAGGAGGGTCTTGCACGCAGGCAAATAACCAGGGCTATTTTGGTCACGGCGTCAGTCATAGACTGATTAGGCCGAAGACCTGGGACAGACAGGAGGCAATTAACGAGGGGACCCACATTGAATAATATGGGAGAGGAGCCACAGATATAGTGGAGGTGAGTGGAGGGACAGAGCCAAAGGGGAAACTGAATATGGGGGGCACAGACAGGAAGCAGTGCAAGTGCAAAGGGACGGGACAGGGAGAAAGGGATGGGGAAGAAACATGGGCTTGGGGCCACGGCATTTGAGGGATTGATGGGACACTGAGGCTCTGAAAAGAGGTAGAAATGGAGATACTAGTGAAGAGGAAAAGAGAAACAGAGCGGGCAAAGAGAGAGGGGAAAAGGAGGGAAACTGGGGGAGAGGAGAAGGGGAGGGAGGGAGGGAGAGAGAGAGAGAGAGAGAGAGAGAGAGAGAGAGAGAGAGAGAGAGAGAGAGAGAGAGAGAGAGAGAGAGAGAAGGGGAGAGAGAGAGAAGGGGGAGAGAGAAGGAGGGAGGGAGAGAGAAGGGGGGAGAGAGGAAGAGAGAGGGAGAGAGAGAGAGAGAGAAGGGAAGAGACAGAGAGAGAGAGCGGGAGGGAGAGAAGGGGAGGGGGGGGAGAGGAGGGGAAGGGAAGAAGAAAAGGAAGGAGGGAGAGAAGGAGGGAGGAAGGGGCAGGTGCCTAAGGCAGGCTTGGGGAGCCCCACAGGAGAGAGGAAGCCGAGAAAGCCCCAGGGAGGCAGAAGACTCTGAACCAGAACACGGTGTGGCCGCTGACTGTGCCAGGATCTGCACACACGACAACAATGAAACAACAGTCCCTGCCTCTCAGAAAGAGGGAGGGAGCAAGAAAGGAAGGAAGGGAATAAGCATTTATTATGCACCTACTGTGTGTCAGGCTCTATACCGAGTGCTTTACAAATATAGTCTCATTGCATCCGCTCAACGACCCTGGAAGACAGGAGCTATTATGATCTCCCTTTTACAGTTAAGGAAACTGAGGCATTCAGGAGTTAGGTAACTTGCTCAGGGTTACACAGCTAGTGTCCAAGACTGGATTTGAACTCAAGTCTTCCTGACTCCAGGCCCAGAGCTGTCTCCAGTGAACCACCAGTGGCTTCTGGGCCAGAGAAGCAGATGCAGAGTTGATGCAAGGTAACTCTAAAGGCCTTTCTGAGGGTGGGGCAGGGATCTGGAAAGGCCAGATGGACAAGAGGCCTTTGAAGAGGCACAAAGAGTCAACTTCAGACACAGGAGGAAACAGAAGTCAGTATCTGATCCTCAGAGATGACAGAGACCACGGAGCTTGGGGAGCGAGGGCTGCCAGGTGAGAGGCAGACTCTAGAATGGCCGGTTGGGCGCCGGGGGACACTCGAGGCGGGAGCACCTATGAGGTGCCCCAGGGAAAAAGAAGCAAGGGCCTGGACGGGCCAGAAGGGGACGAGGCAGGAGCCCCATGGAGGAAGGGAGGACAAGGCTGGGGAGCAAGGCGTGGGGAAAAGTCAAGGATGCTCATGGCAAACCTCAGGACTACAAGGATGGTCACACGGCCACCTGACTGGGCAGGGTAAAGCCCCAAGACAAATTCGAGAGGTCTGACATCCGGGAGAAATGTCCAATGGTCGGCTGTGATGGAGGACGGAGCCCAGAGGAGAGAATAGGGCTGGATGGTTATAGAACTACAGGTTTGGGTGATGATGAGACCTAGACAGGAGACGGAGACCACCAGGCTTGGGTAGCTAGGCCTAGAGTCTTCTTTTCTCTGGCTGCTTACTTACTCTGTCTCTCTCTCTCTGTCTCTATTCTTCCCTCTCCTCTCACTCCCTCCCCTCTCTCTTTCCCTCCTTCCTTCCCTCTCTCTGTCTGTCTCTGTCTCTCTGTCTCTGTGTGTGTGTCTCTCTGTCTCTCTATTCTTCCTTCTCCTCTCTCTGCCTCCTTCCTTCTCTCTCTGGCTGTCTCTGTGTGTGTGTGTCTGCCTCTCTCCTCCCTCCCTCTCTGTCTCTCTCATTGTCTCTGTCTATCTCTCTCCTTCCCTCCCATCTCCTCTACTCTCCTTCTCCCTCTCTCTCTCTTTTTCCCTTCCTCCCTCTCTCTGTCTCTCTTATCACCTCAGCTCCTGTGGGGTCAAGTACCAAAATAGCTGAACTGCACTTGGTTTTTACAGCCTTTTTGAATTACAAAGCAAAGCCCATCATTTAAGCTTCTGTCTTTTCTTCTGGCCTGGGGTGCCAGCTGCCATGCCTACTGGGGTCTCAGCCATGCAGCCTGGGCTACATTTTCCTAAAAGCCACCCCTGCCCTGATTTGACGGGTTTGAGGAGCTGAGGGTAAATCCTCAGGCTGCTGACAGAGCTTCCCAGTCATTGGGTATGAGAAGAACAGGCCACACGGAGTCAGTGCCCTCTGACTCGGCAGCAGATCCAATGTTGGGCAAGTCCCTGTGCCCACCTGGCCCAACCCAAGATGCTGACACATTTCTGTCTGGAGACTGGGGGGGGAGGGGCACACAGCGGAGCAGGCCCACCTGGCCCAGGCATGGGTCCTGGCTGAGCAGCCTGTCCAGGCTATGGGTAAGTGAATCTCTTTTTTGTTAAGGGTGAGGCAGATTCCTAGGGCTGTATCCCAAAGAGATCATAAAAAAGGAAGAAGGACCCACACGTACAAAGATATTTATAGCAGCTCTTTCTGTGGCAGCCCAGAATCGGAAATGGAGGGAAGGCCATCCATTGGAGAATGTCCGAACAAGGCGCGCTGTACGGTTGTGATGGAATACTACTGTTCCATAAGAAAAGCTGAGCGGGCGCACTTCAGAAACACCTGGCAAGACTTGTGTGGACAGATGCCGAGTGAGCGCTGTACACAGTGAGAGTAACATTGTATGATGACCAACCTTGATAGGTCTTGATAGGTCGCTCTTCCCAGCAACACAATGATCCAGGACAATTCCAAAAGCCTCCTGATGGAAAACGCTGTCCACACCCAGAGGAAGAACCATGGAGTCTGAATGCAGAAGGAAGCAGACTATTTGCTCTTTTGTGACTGTTTGTTTTTTCTTTCTTGTGGTTTTTCCCTTTCGTTCTGATTCTTCTTTCACAACATGGCTAACGTGGAAACGTGTTTAATATGATTGCACATATACAGCCGATACCAGATTGCTTGCTGTCTTGTGGAGGGAGGAGGGAAGGAGAAAACTTTGGAACTCAAAATCTTACAAAAATGAATGCTGAAAATGAACTTCATGTGTAATTAGAAAAAAGTAAAATACTATTAAGTGAAAATAAAAGTGTGAGGCAGTCCCTGTTAGTGACTCAAGCCAGGACTAGGCTTCCCTGGGATCTCCCCAGGGAGATCAGCTCCCAGGGAAGAAAGCCAATCCACTAACAAGAGCAGCAGCTCCTTCCTGATGGCTTAGTGCGAGATGCCCAGGCCCCAGAGCTGAGGCTGGGTCATTCAAAGCATCATTCTTGATTAGTTCACTTGACCCCCAGGGCACACACAGAGGTTGTGTCAAAGAACTGACGAGGCTCAGTGCCTCCCCCAGACTGTAGGACGGTGTAAGGAGAGGGGTCAGGACCACTCAGAGCTTGGCTCATCTCCTGGCAAAGGGAAGGCCATTGAACCTGAAGAGAGGGAGATGGCATTTTCCTCTGACGAAGGATCGACTGGGGCTCCCGGCCTGCTGACCTTTCCCGTGACATCCAAGAGTCTAGCAGGGGTGAACTCTCTAGCTCATGCCTGTTCCAATGAAACCTCACTTCCTCTGTCCTTCCTGGTATAGTCCAGTTTTAACAGAGAGTAAGAAAGTGAGACTCCTGAGCGGAGAAGAGGAGCCAGACCGTCCTGTAACTGCGCCTCCAAAAAGCTGCTTGTGTTATAGCTCTGCACACGTTAAAATCTGGGGACAGAAACTCTCCAAACTGCTTCCTAAGGTTCCAGACAATAAATTTCCATGGGCTTTGAGCCCAGTTCTTTAAAACTAGCCAGCACTTCCGGATTGGCTGACGTTAGGGAATATGGACATTTACCAGCCAAAGTTCAGGTAGATGGGATAGAAAAGGGACTGTCGTGAGGATGCACGACTTCCTTTGGAATCTGCAGGCCTCTGGGGGGCCTTAAAGTCAACTGGCCTCAGGACTACCTGCAGAAGTGGACATGTGTCATTAATGAACGAACCTAGAACCGTACAGACTCATTTCGTGAGTCACTGACAATTTGACACGCAACCAAATACATTTGGAGCCCTGGAACTGAATAGTAGGGATTTGCACAGTGGTCCTCCCGGTAGGAGGGTCAAGACTGCACCTGAACCCAAGTCTCCTGAAACTCTGCCCTCGTTTTAAACTTCTTAAACTGAACAGAAGCGATTTCACTGTTTGTTTTTTTTAAACAGCCTTACCTTGAAGATTGCTTTTCCCCGTTCCAAAGTGATGGCTCCCTTTGCCAGAACAGGGGACTCAGAAGGAGAGATGGGCTGCTCCTTTGGATGGCTTCCTTCGGTCAGTCAGTCAGCTCAGAACCAAATGCAGAAAGCTTCACTCTGCTGAACCAAAGAAAAAGACACTAACTTTAATACCTTACTACCCTAAGTTTACCATTGAATCCATTTTCACAACTGCTGATGTCAAGTGCATTTCCTACGATGGTGACCACAGCCAGAGCAGACAATCTCCCTTTGGAAGTGGTTCCTGCCACAAGGTGGGTGTGGACCCACAACCAGCATCCCAAAGTCCCAATCTTCTAGGCGTTTGCCTTCCAAACCCAAATACCAGCCGGCCCAACAGGGAAGGGCATATGCCCAGAGGGAGCACCAACAGTGCCTGCCTCCCCGCTGCCTCTGCTGGCCATTGTGACATTCCCCCACTGGCTGTTACCAGCCGGCGCCAACCCCACACTTGTGGCCGCACAGCCACACCTCTGCTGCTGACGATCCTAGAGACACCCCCAGATCCAACTGGTCCAGCATGGAGCCCATTCTCTCTGCCTTCATCCCTCCCAGCATCGCCTGGGTTCCTGGCCAGGGCGCCACCTTCAGGCCAGGTGCCCAGGGTTCACTCACAGCCTCTGTTCCTCCTGGACAACCTGCTGCCAGCTCTGGCTCACCTGATTCCAGGCCCTTCGCCACCTGGCTCCATCCCTTCCAGACTGATCTCCCACTCTTCCCACTCCCTTGCACCTGAGTCTGTTCAAAGCCTGCTCAGGTGTCCCTGCTCTCCCTCAGAGGGCTCTCGAGTCAGTGGCCAGGCCACCGCCCTCCCCAGTCTCTTGCTCTTTATGTTGACTTTGCTTCTCTGGGTACAAACCATCCCCTGCCCCACCCCTAAGACTAGGCACTCCCCAGGAACAGCTGCCCTCTATCTCCTCACCGCCTGGCAGAGGAAGTACTGAGTAGGGTTAGTGACATATACCCACTGGCATTCCTGCAGAGGGGAGACTTCTCCAACAAGGTGCCCCCAGACAAGAGACATGACCCTGTGGTTGGGGGGGGGGGCCTCGAGCCCCAAGCCCTCCCCCAGGCTCCACTGGCCCCACCCCCAACAGGAGGAGGTGACCTTTCACAATATGCCAGTGCTAGTCACCCAACATAAAAAGATACTAAGACTGGTGGCCAATTATCCGAGAAAAGGAAAAATCCTGGGTGGGCCTTAGAGAAAACAAAGGGAGGGGCATGGGGATGGGGCAGGGAGAAGGGCCCGCCTGGAGAAGGGTGAGGTCCTGCAGGAGACTATGAGGGGTGAAGGCAAAGGAAGCTTCCCACCGGACCTAAATGAAGACCACTGGACAGTGGCCCTGGATGACCTTCTGACTATGGGAGCCCAGGGAGATGAGCCTCTGTTTGGAGGCTCCCAGCACAGTGAGGGAGGCCAGCCTCCAGGTCCCATGGAAGCTGTAGGGATCACTAGCATATCACTAACATAAATGGATTCACTACTAGCATAAGCTGTGAGGAAGGCAAACTTCATGGTCTAAGGTGGCACCATGGGGCACAGAGTGCAGGACCTAGAGTCAGGAAGATTCATCTTCATGAGTTCAAATCTGTTCTCAGACACTTACTAACTGGGTGACCCTGGGCAAGTCCCTTCACCCTGTTTGCCTCAGTTTCCTCATCTGTAAAATGAGCTGGAGAAGGAAATGGCAAACCACTCCAGTATCTGCCAAGAAAACCCCAAATAGGGTCACGAAGAGTCAGACACAACTGAAAACAACTCAACATAACAAGTGTCCTCTGTTAGAACATCTGTGTTGCTCATCTGAACCACACACTCTTGGAGCTTAGGCTCACCCCAGTGAGCCTCGGCTGTACAAGCCGATCAAGGCTGCCCCCAGCCGCCCCAAGACTCAGCTCTTCTTCCTCATCACTGTCTCTCAGTGTTCCCTGCCTCTAAGGGCCATGGGAGGCAGAAGCACACATGGCCAAGCTCACCCGCTTCCAACCCACAGCAAATGAGCAATGACAGCATTCCCTCGAGGATAATCATGAACTGTGGAACACACAAGACTCCTGGGAGTGAGACCAGAGCAGGAAGAGGAAGCATGTGCTCTCTGGGCCACCCAGCACGAAGCACAGCAAAGCAAACATGACTCTAGATCAGGGACCCCTTTGGCACTGAGGGATTGGGGAATCCAGGGATCCCTTCTCAGAATCCTGCATCAAATAAAATATACAGGATTCCAAAGGAAGCCAATTCTATTGGCATATATAAAATATATTTCAAAAAAGTTTAAAACCAGCCATGGGACCCAAGTGAGACGCCCTGCAGGATCACCTTGATGCTGAGAACCGGAGGACTTCCTCCAACCTTTTAGTGGATGTCCAGCTATGAAGGGCAGCATGGCAAAGATGCAGGGGGCCAGCCCTGGAGTCAAGAGGACCAGGGCAACGGCTCCGATGGGACCCAAGAGGTGGGAATGGGGGAGGGGATCAGTCTGAGAGGCCACCAAGGCAGCATCCATCAGCACCAGAAAAAGCAGAAAGCTGGGCAAAGTCGGAGCATTTTCCTGGAAATTGGCTGGAAAGGCTAGTCAAGCTTGGACATTTATCATAGCAAAAAGATTCTATAATCTCTTAAAAAGTCTGCTCAGACACCAGCCTCTTACTACATAAAAGACGATTGCCTCTTACATAAGAAAATTCTGGAACAAAGCAGCTGCTTCCATTTCACAATGTAGAAGTCAATGGCCCAGATAAATGACCAAGTACCCAGATAACTGACCATGAAAGGCCGAGCAGCGTTTTTCTGGGCACTTGCTTCTGGTCCTCCCATGCCTGGAAGGAGAAGACAGACACTCACACTTGGGAGAAGACAGAACAAGAGAGGAGCTGGAAAGGACAACTGGAAGAGGAAGCCCTGGGCCATTCACTCTGCATTCTGAAAGACAGGACTGCCGGGCCTGCTTTTCAAGGATGCAGTGGTCAGCACACAATGAGTGACCTCAAAGGGTGCTCTCTTCTTAAAACCAGTGCTGTCTTGACAAAATGTAAAATCAATTTCCTGGGGTATGAATGCTATATATTTTCGAAATAGAAGGTATTTTCAGATCCCTGTCTAATTAGCATGAGCAAGCCTTGATGATCTGACAAATTCTGCTTCCAATGGCCTGTACTCGAAATGCCCTTGAGCCTCTGGCTGTCTGGCTGTGGAGAGCCAGGATTACTTCGATGACTGCTTCCAGAAACTTGCCTAAAGGTTAAAATGGGTTGGAAAACAGGGCAATAAACTTGACAGAGAATTGTACACATGAAAAACCCTGTTGACAGCAAAGCCAAGAAGGTAAGAACACGCTTCCCTCCACACACCCTGCACAGCCCCGGAAGCCGTGAAGGAGGATGCGTGAACCACTATCCAAGGAAGAAACCCAAACTGCTTACAACTACAGGAGAAATGGTTCCGAATCCCCAAAGAAAAGAAATGCAAAACAAAACAACCTTAAGGTCCCTGAAGGACTCCTGGGCCTCCCTGTCTGGGTGTTACCAGAAAGAGAGAGTGAGCTCCCTGAAAGCAGTAACTCCCCTGCCTTCGTACGGGTACCCCACAATGCTTTGCACAGTGTTTGGCACTTCCTAAATGTCCTTTCATTCCATTTCCACCCAGCAAATTGGCAAAGATGACAAAAGACAGGGCTGGAAAGGCTGGACAGGCTGTGAAAAGAAGGATGCACTGATACATTGTTGGTAAACCTGTGAAAAGAGCCAGCCACTTGAAAAAGCAGCTTGGGAGGATGCTAAGAAAGTGAAGGAAACATCCACAGTCTTTGACCCAGAGAGACCACTACTGAGCAGACAGCCCAAGCAGATCAGAGACAGAGAGAAAGGCCCTTAGGACACCAAAATCATTACAGCAGCCTTTTGGAAACAGAAGATGCTCGTGGATAAGGGAGTTACTAAATGCCCCTGTGAGGGAATATTACTATAATACATGAAAAATATTTGCTTCAGTAAATGTATTTCACACACACATACATATGTGTAAATATAGATACATGTGATATAAATACATACATATAAATTTTATATATTGATTTTGTATATATGTATTAATTTTTATATTGTTGTTCAACCATTTCAGTTGTGTCTGATTCTTTATGGGTTTGGGGGGTTTTCTTGGCAAAGATACTAGAGTGGTTTGCCATTTCCTTTTCCAGCTCATTTTATAAATGAGGAAACTGAGGCAAACAGGGTTAAGTGACTTGCTCAGGGTCACAGAGGCAGTAAGTGTCTGAGGCCAGATTTGAACTGAGGAAGATGAGTCTTAGAGCCACTGGATAGAGCAATGGGCCTGGAATCAAGAAGACCTGAGTTCAAATCTAGTCTCAGATACTTCCTAGCCTTGCGACCATGGGCAAGTCACTTAACCTCTGATTACCTGGGAAAGGAAATGGTAAACCATTCCAGTATCTCTGCTAAGAAAACCCCAAATGGGATCATGAAGCATTGGACACAGCTGAAACAACTGAACAACAACAAAAAAGAAGAGTCTTCCTGACTCCAGGCCCAGCACTCTGTCCACTGTGCCACCTAGCTGCCCATATTACTTTTAACATATGTATATCAATAATTTTATATGTATATGTTCTATTTATATGTACATTATATATGTATGTATATACAATATAGATAAAGATAACTTTCCTTGAAATGAAAGTTCTGGAAAGCACTAACCAATCAGATGAAGGGGCCACAAGGACAGAGGGAACTTCCAAGGGTAAAATGACCTTCCAAGGTGAGGAGGATGCTGGCACTTGGGTGGAAAAAGTCCTGAGAGCCAGGGGTGGAGGCCAAACAAATTCTCTTCAGGTATGATTAGATATTAAAGTCAAATATACTAATACTTTGTTGGTGAAGCTGTGAATTAGTTTAACTAATCTTTCAGAAAGCAATTTGGAATTATGCAAATCAAGTGGCTAAAAGTCTATATTATTTGACCTAGAGATTCCACAACCAGGCCACTCCCTCAAGGAGGTCACTGACCAAAAGTAAGGCCCCACACAGACCAAAACATTTATTAAGTCTAATCACATCATAACTTACAGTTGGCTCTCAAA